TGCATCTGCGCGCCGGTTTCCGGGTCAGCCGGCCCCCTCGGCCCCGGCTGGCCCGGATCGGATCCGCGGGCGGGCGAGATGGCGCGTCACGTCTTTCGGCGTCCGGGGGGCCAGGTCGATCGCCGAGGCCCGGCACCCCTCACCCCAACGTGGCTGCCAGTCACCCTGCGAGCGCCGCGGTTGACCCCCCCTCGCCCGGCCGGCCGCCCGGTTGGGCAGCCACTTCCATGCCCCCGGGGGCCGGGCGCACGGGGGGGGCGGGGCGGGCGTTCCTCCAACGGCCCGTTGTTTGTTTTCGCCCCTTCGCAGGTGGTGTCCCCCCCCCCCCCCCCCGGCCCCGGCCCCGGCCCCGGCCCCGGCCCCGACCGCTTCGCCGGACACCGGGGGGGATGGGGGAGACTCCTGGCGGCGGCACCGGCGCGCGCAACAGGAATATGGGCGATTAGTCAGGCGGCCCCGGGGTCGTGTGCGGTATCCCGGGCCCTCCTCTGCCAGCGGATTTCCGCGGGCGTGGGCCTGACGAGCACCATGTCTCCCCGGTCCCCCCGGCCCGCCCCAGCCGACCGGCGTCCCCGGCCCCTGCCCCCTCTCCCGGGCTTCGCCGGGCCCGGCCGCGGGAGGGCCCACCGGCGAGCCCGGCCTGGCTGATGCTGCCTGGCGTACGCCCCCCCCCCCCCGGCCGGGAAGAAGGGCCGGGGGCACAGCCAGCCGGCCGGGGGGGGGGGGCGGGGCACATGCACATCTGGGGCGCACACACACACACACACACGGCTGGCGCATGCCCAGCCCCGGGCCCCGGGCATCGCTTGGACGCGCGCGCGCGCGCGCGCGGCCACCGGCCACGCCCGACATGCGCGGTCCCCCCCCCCCCCGGGCGCGTGTGCTTGGGGGGGCGGCCGGAATTATGCCGCAGCCTGCCCGGTCCGTCCCGAGCCGGGCAAGTGTGGCCGATCTCCGCCCGGCGAGTCCCACTGCAAAGTTGCACCGGGCCCGGCCCGGCCGCAGCGTCGCCACTTGGCCGGATCGCACCGCCCAGATCGCGGCCCCGGTGGGGGTGGGAATGCGCCCGGCCACACCGCACGCCATACGAGATCCGCCATTCGTCCCTGAGACGTCCCTGTGTCGGGGGCACGGGGGGGGGGGGGGCGGCGGCGGCGGCCCCGGCCCGGCGGCCCCTTCGCTCGGGCAAACGGGCGCGCGGGTGGGTGGGGGGCGGGGGGGGGGGGGCCCCCACAACCCCCGCCGGCCTGGCGCCCTGTCCCGGCGGTTCCCATGGCCAATCCGAGCCGGTCCAGTGAGTCCCTGCGTGCGTGCCTGCATGCGTGTGTGCGTGTCTGCGGTGGTGAGGATGGCCTCTCCCCGTGTGCGAGCGAGTGCGTGTGTGCTTGCCCTCGCCAGCGCGGCATGGCCGCCCCGGGGACCCGGCCCACGCATGCGCCCCCCTCTCGCCTCATCGTGATGATGGCGGCGCCCGGGCGGCCGGGCCTCCCCTCTCGCCGGCCCTCTCTCGCGCCCCTCTCGCCGGCCTCGGGCCCCCCCCCCCCCCACAGATAGAAGTGCACCCGGTCCCCCCTGGCCCCGGCCATCCTGGCCGGGCAGCATCATCACCTCCGACGCACCTTCCCCTCCCGCCTGCACCCCCCCGCCCTCCCTCTCCTCCCCGCCCCTCGCCCCCCCTCCACCGCGCTCGCGCCTCGCACGAGAGAGAGAGAGAGAGAAAGACCCCCGCGCACGCCCGGCCGTCCCCGCAAGGTGAGTCGCCCCGGCGTCCGATCTCTGCAGCGCCCTCCAACGCTCCGCTCTCC